CTACTTAACATCTCGTGTTGTTTTCTCCAGGAAAACACAGATTTCGAAAGTCCAAATGTTTATTCCTAGCATTGTTCGTAAACAAATTTGGAAACTGTGAGCAGTGTGTCCCTGATCTATCCTATTTCAATCTTCTACACGATCCACATTGATGTAAATTTTATTTACACATTTGGAATAAGAAATTAATGAATTATTCCTGACAAAGACTTCCAACGTGAGCCAGAAGGCCAAACTTAATTGTAAGATAGTAATTCAATTTATTGTTTGGACGAGGAGTTATTAGTAATGATGCGTTTCCAGGCATTTTTTTTATCTTTACTCGCTTCGACTATGAGGTTTTACGATCTTTTTTTAATTTTCCAGAGACTCGCAATAATTAATTTTCTTGCCATAAATCTCTTATTCATAAAAGCACGTGTTCCTGTTTTGTAAGTCAAGAGAATCTGCACATGGCATTAAATGAAGCAACTCTGGCCTACCTAGTCATAACTATGTTTATGTACGATATATATTAAATTTTAACAACTTTTTAAGTATCTGACACATACCTAAAAAGATAATCAGTAATAATTACGTGGACAATGTTCCCTTTCATTTCATGCAAGTATTTCTACATGTTTCTTTTTAAAAATTATACGCTTAATTAATTCTGCTAAAGATTTCATAATATCGTCATAAAATTCCTGACAATATTTCTACCAAAAAGTTCAATCTACCACAAAATTGTTCTTAACAATTCTTATTCAGATTCTTATTAACAAAGTAGACTGTAAAACGTTATGTTCAAACATAAATATGAAAATAATTAAAATGTTTGGAAATCTGCTAATAAATCTATAATGTTTTGCTTGTTTTTCGGCAGAAATCAAGCGGGTTTTTTATGGGTAAATCTACTGATACATCTGATAGTAACTTAATAAGATGACACAAGTCCATAGAACTTCCTCGCTAATAATCTACTGTGCACGGCATACAGTTATTAGAAAAATAGAGAAAAAGAGACGCGAGTCATTATCAACGGTGACTTTACATGCACGAATGAATAAAACAAGTATGATTCAACTATATTAATCGTTCATTGTCCTGTGTTGGATAATCTTCAATAACAATACGTAACATCGTCTGACCTCAAGAATTTCAAAGAAAAAATAGAATAGTTACAATTTTACATACTTTGACGATTTAACGACACTTCATTTGATACTTCATTAAGGAAAATAATTTATACGCAAAGATTCGGATTACTGAATCAGTTACAATTCCGCGATTTTATAATACTCCGATCATCGAACGTTCAAATGCAAAAAGATTCATAAAACAGAAATAATCGGCAAAGTGTGTAAAATTAATGAGAGTAATTGACTAAATTACACGCGTTTCGTTTTACTTTCGATTTACACGGTTTTTCCTACAAAAAGCCAAGGATCCAGCGAATAGATGTACTCCCGATCGTTTCACTTTCCTGATTACGGGTCCGACACTCAAACGTGATCGCTATTTACCTGCACGGGTCGCTGGTGAAAATACGCCGGCATCCGATCACGCTTCCCGATCGCACTTTCCTGACGGGTCAAGCGAGGTTAAGCCTCGTCCTTCCAGGATAACAGGACGATGCCACCGGCCGACTCCGCGGCGACGACGCCAGAAATCGCGAACCGTGACTGGTTCCGGTTTAAAGCCTCGTTCACACCTCGATTTTCACCACGTAGACAGCTCCGTTTATCCGTCGTGTAGTCGCGAAAAAAACTTTTGCCGGCCAGCAACTACGAGACCGGGGGGTACATCCCGTCGACAGGACGCGGGATTCGACGCGATCGTTCGAACCGATCGAACGATCCCCGTCCCGCTTGGATCAACTCAGCGCACTGAACGTCACTCGAGCCCCGTAACGATCGCGTCCACTGGGATCATTGTCCGTGCACGAGGAAACCGCGGAACGTCGACGGCCACGAGAACGCCGCTAGATCCCTGCTTGATCGGCGTCGACGCCGACGCGCTAGATCCCTGTTGTTCGGATCGTGCACCTCTCCGCGTGGCTCGGTTCCCGCATGCGTGCGCGCGTCGATGATCGGCAAGTGTCCTCCAGGATTGTCCCGTACGACGACGGGTCGCGAAACGTTTCGGTTCGAGTGGTTCGCGGAGCGACCGCGATCACGCTGCTGCGCGAATATCTCGAAAACAAACGCGGAGCGAACAACGAACGGGTGGGCGCGCGGGGGGTCGAGGCGGGGGGAGGGAAGAACGGGCGCGAGATCGAAAAAGGGGATGGAACCGGGCAAATAGCCGCGAGCTGCCCTATTACGATCACGTGCGTTTGTCACGAGTCGCGGTGGTGTATACGGAGCCGACTCGCTCGCTCTCGCGCGAGTGCCGAGAGCGAGTTCTCTCTGTGTGTTTCTCGGTGCTCCGTCTTCGTCTCCGCGAACCCGGTCCTCTCTCTCTCTCTCTTTCTCCTCTATTTTCCTTCCACTCTGCCCGCTTTCTCCCTCTCGCTCTCTCCCGTTCTCGCGATCCCCGCGGTGGCGGTGTCCCTCTCCCCCGCGGTTCGCGGATTTCTCTCTCCCTCGAGCGACAGAAGCGCGAGAGAGAAGGAGTGTCTTACCTGCGAGTAGCGATGGGACTGACGAGCAACGTCAACCAATCGACGATCGACGATTTGGATGAAACTAGGCACGCGGGTGTACCACCCGGTGAATGATAATGCGGGGTTCTTTTTTAGGATCTCCATTACATAGTTTATATTTTTCATGTGTAACAAAGAAGGAGAAGCCTCAAGAATTGCATCTTTACGTAATTTGACCATCCGCTGTAGGTACATTACACTCGTCATTACTCAGATCAACCAAGACAGAATTATCTTCTTGTGACTTGCATATTTCGTCTGTATATAAACATAATTTCCTGATTATTGTATTTGTATACTTTATCGAACCGAATGTTTTCCACCCGTATCATTGGGTCCACTCCATAAACGTATATGTTGCTTAAAAAGCACGCAGTAATTTATTAATGAGATTAATTATTGAATTAAAATTAATTGATATCGATTATCTTCGGTAAATTGTAATAACAACAAAGTTATAAAGATTCTTCTATCAGTATGTGTTACGAAGAAACAAATATTTGATTATTTTTTTATCGAAATGAGGTGGCACAGGTTTTCGCGTTTGTTGTGCGATAATGTATCAAACGATTGCGCTGTATACTATAAAAACTATTTATATCTTAAAATTAATATGTGCACAAACGAGTTATTGCGTACAGGTCGTATATATGTACGTATGATTAATTAGAAATGCCATACTAATTATTCAAGCATCTCTATATAGAATATTGCTAACTAATCATCTGAAACCTTGTTTCCACGTTAATTACAACCCATTAAATTATAGAAAATTACTGTGCGTTTCATAGATAATCATACATTCATGAACAGGACTCGATTATACGGATAGAAAATGTTTCTTCGATAATATTAGTATAGAGCAAATTAAATTTTCTAATTAAACGAGTTTGTCAATCTTTTAATTTTTGTTTACTCAGCTACATAATTTTCATCCCCTTACATAAAACTATGTGGTTCTCAGAATTACTCAATACAATAACATTAAATACCGTTCTCCGAAGGCCCAACTTTACGATACATAAATAAGCTCAATGATACTTTCTAAGAAGCATCAAATGTGTATAATTTCGTAGAAGTATCCAGTGGATATCAATTCAGTTTGACATTTTTACAGCGGTCAATCTAGAAGAATTCAAAGAGACGTAGAGTTAAGAAAAATTTGTTGAGAAATGCTAAGTTTCAAAGATTCTAGAATCCTACAAATGATAAAGTAATTAATAATTACAGATTTACTCTCACGACTCTATTAATTTTGTTTAATGGATGAACCAAGCTCCTGTGAACCCTCCCCCTTGCATCCGTTTACCTGCGGATTAGTGAAGGGGAACTATCGATAATTCTCCACCATTACTGCGGATGTGTTGCCGCTCGATACAAGTTTATAATTTACGGGCTGATATCGACGGTATTGATTCGGTATTATTCCCATCACTACCTGTGAGGTAAGTAAAACCGGCGTTCCGTCGTACGTGTTACGGCATTGCGCGACTCGCCCGACTCCGTAGCCCCACGCTCTGCCATTACGCGGGGTCTGCGATGCCAGATTGAGAACGCGAATCACCGAGAATTTCCCTCTCTACATGCACACACTAATGCAACAACCCTTTATACGTGAGTACAGCACTTCGGACAGCTTCGGGGAGCCGAGAAAGAAGACTTCGAGCCTTTCCTTCTCCCTCCCCTGGACAGATGAGTTTTACATCCAATCTGATATATTAGATGCAGAAATTAATTCCGTGCCTTTAAATTCATTCGTTTATACATGTACTTTAAATAAAAGTATTTACTCGTCATTTTGTTTCGTTGAATTACTGGCCTTCTATGTTCTCCATCTGATCTCATATTGAGTGCAATATAATGTAAATTATAGTGAATCTATATGGACCCAGAGTCTCAGTCTGATGGTCATTACGATTTATCTATATATTTTCGGTAGAAAAAGACGCCAAATCGTATCAACTCTGCCATAAAATCATCCCTAGCCTCATATTTTTCTAATCGATGTTTTTAATACTATTACAAGGCCTCAAACTACCCTTAACACGTTGATCGCCACGTCACCCACATACGGTGGCTTTTCACTGAAGCACGAAAAAAATAAGTTGTTGAGCAACAAAGGAAACGAATTTAAATGAAATTCATGAATTTTGATGAAGTTACAAAAATAAATACCAAAATGTTTGATAAATGTTCGATTATGTAGAATATTAGAAGAATATTTGTCTTCCGGTCGACGTGTTAAACATAAACAAGAACATCCACTTCATCCTCGAACGTAAATGTTCTGTTACATAGGTAACAGAATCCCCGTACCAGCGCCTCCCAAAGGTAGATGAGCGTAACGCGCCGAAAGCAAAAGAATTACGAATACCTGGGCGGCTGCATGCCGACACGCGTCCAGAACGTCTGAAACGCTCAGGCGGCTAATCGTCGGGGTATTCCGTCCATAACAAGATCGTATTCCGTTTGCCGGCAATTCGTATTTCAGCTGTGTCGAAGAGGGAGAGAGAAAAAAAGGACTTCCCCGTTCGTCCTCTTTCTTCAATCCCCGAAGCTGACCGAAGCGGCGAAGATCGCGTACGCGCGACTCGTGCATTAGTATGCGTGCGTAGAGGGGGGAATTCCCTGTGACTCCGTCCTCGAACTGGCACCTCTGCGCGGGGTTCCGCGGACTGCCTGCGACGGAACGTGGAACAGGAGGGGAATGGAGGGGAGGTTAGCGCGGTTTAAAATGGGTGGGGGGGGGGCAAGTAAAAGGGTGGAGGAGGTGGTGGAGGTGGTGGCACGAAGAGAAGGAAGAGGTGGTAACGATGGTAATGCAGCAACAGGGGTGAGGAGAGCCGCAGAGCGTTACACGGGAGAGGAGAGCCCGGGGGGGGGGTCGAGGAAGGGGGAGGGAGAGAGAATTAAGCGACTGGGTCGGAGGTGAGTCCTGGAGATGGTAGGGGATGTAGTATCAAGGGGGACCGGGGGATGGGGAGGGGAGGTTAAGCCTCGTCGCGGAAGGGGGAGAGGAGCTTGAAGTTGGAGGTGAGCCGTGTCGTTTGTATCATCCCGGTGGGGGTAGAGCGTGGACCGTGGCACGCTGGCAGCGGGGCGCTGCGATGTGGAGAGGGGTCGGAGGGGAGGACACACCGTGGACTCCACGGAGTGGGGGATACGAGTGGACCAACTGGGTTCGCCAGCAACCCGCGGTTCATTGACCGAGAAGTGCCGGGAGAGCCGAACGGTCGGCCGTGTTCGACCCGCTGCTAAAACAGAATTTGTACCGGCACTTTATGCGTCTCATCTACACGGCCGGCTCGAGAAATGAACGGAGACGGACGAACGTACGGCACAGGGAGGGACGAGAGGGGAAGTACAGGGAGAGCGAAGAAGATGAGATAAAGAGAGGGAAACAGGAAAGATTTCGCGATGCACAGGAAGAGTTGACGCGACCGAACAGAGCCGCGGAGGGGGTTCGGAGAGGGGGGTGGAGCGCTTGATTGGCCCGCGCGACGCTCAAAAGTGCATCTCGCCGGACGGGAAACGGGGTTGCAAGAATTTCGGTGGCGGAGGATGGGCGAACGGTGATGAACAGCGACGAGCGGCGGTTGCGTTTCGTACGCAAAGCATGCTCTCAAATTCTGACGATTCAATTAGGCGCAAACGCGACGACAAGAACCGCTGACTGCCGTTTCCTGGTGCCTCGATTCGATTTTAATCGTCGCGCAACGAAGACGCACTGGGGAAGGTCTCCGTACTCGTTAGAGGACGAACCGCGTCGTCGAATGTAATTACGTATACCCGGCGCAACGATTGAGCGACTCGACGCCGAAGTTCGCCGAGTTACGTTCGTTTAGTCGTTAACGCTTACGCTACGTCTACGGTACATGACATAACGCGTTATGTAGCCACGGTGGTCGTGCGGCTCTTCGTGACACTTGTCGTGGCTATAGCATGCTTGTACAATCACATTTTACAAACTTGATACATACCAGGGTGTTTCGTTTAAAGCGGAACGGTTATGTGTCTCGCAAGGGGATGAAGCTACCAAACAAATGTTTTTTACAAAAATTATTTGGTTCAAAGGAGAACATTATGCAGATTATGTAAATCATGTTTTTGTGAGTGAAGTAGTGAGGATATTTAAAAATTAATTACAAAAATTCGCAACGTGCAGTACAAAGTCGAGAAATTCCACGGAACCGGCAACCAGAATAAATGGAAGTATGAAAGGGACGAAAGATACCACGGGAGACGCGCCCTCGACGCTGCGAACTCTATTATCATCGGTGAAATCATAAAACTATCGGGGATACGTTCGCTCGCGGTAAGCTACACGTTCTTGTCGCCGGTTGTACCTTCGCGGAACAGATTGCTGGAAGAAACCGATCGATCGTCGATAGACCATTAGATCGATGTTATCGGTACCAGCAAACATGGAAAGCCCTGGCGTATCGACGCGAACGATCGAGTTAGGCTGATCGGTTCGATGACTTATCGCATTCGTGCAATGCAACACGACTGTGTGTTTCCTGATCGAAGCAACGAGCTGGATCGAGGAAGATGGCCGGCAGAGGAACGACGAACGAACGACCGTTTACGAGAAAGGGATGAAGTCCACCGTGTAAGTAAGTCTGTCGACTGCCCGGTGACCACACGGCCACACACTTGTCGGGAAAGGAGATGCGCAACTCGGTGTAATGAACCTGGGAAACCGGTTACATCCGCGCGTGTATATATACAGTTCGGTTCGGCCTGTACTTACGTTACATTACGCGGACTGCTACTAGCCGCGATCGAGCTATCGAGCGCGGCAGAGGATCGTCAACGAGGAGCCGAAGAGGTTTGTCGTTGATTCGCGACAGAGGAATTTCGATTGGTGCCATTGGCTTGGGTGGCGCACGGGACGCTACCTGTGCGACCATCTGTGATTGTCGAGCAATTAAAGGGGTGTTTTTGTTCAACTAAATCAAATTTGTTAAAATTTGTCTTTTTAGAATCTTTGGAATAGTTGAAAATATCCTGCGAAAGGAGTTGAGACCGTTTTTGTTAAACAGTATGCATATTTCGAGTTGTATGTCGTCAATTATAGAGGATAAACATTACCCCTTTGATACTCGAAAGGTGATTCCTGGTCATCGCTAGGTTTGGTGCAGCAAATCATCTAGTAATAATGTCTGTTTAGGTTTATTTTCTTTGGGACTCGAATTGTCAATAAAATGATTGTCAGTGAGAGGTGACCTGATTCTCAAATCTCAAATTAGAGATTCCATTTTCAAAGTCAATTTAAGCTTAGGATTCGTGGCAATAGATTGCTAAGAAAGCATCTCGAGTTGCTATTAGGTACTAGACAAAAATTTCACGAATGCAAAGGCTTAAAAGTTCTTCACGATTTGGATCGACGTAGATTTTGTCCAGAAATCAATGAAAGAGTATCGACACGTTTCGAGTACTCGAATAGTTTTAATAGCAGGAGGATGCTACGAGATAGCGACGTTCCAAATTTCCGTTCGGGAAATGACCATTTCCTTCGCTTCGGAGAATTTTCACATTTGGAGGACGAAAGTGAACCGTCGCTCCCGGAATGCTACACAATTTCAAACATCAACATTTATATTCTCCCGCGAGCACATGCGCGTGGCTTTTATCCGCGGTATACGGTTCCTGCATATCCGACGTAACCATTGAAAAAGTAATAATGCAATGGCACATCTGGCACGGTCACTAAATTTACTTTATTCATATTCAATTACCCGAGTTTCTCACGTACGTGTAGGCACTAAAAATAAATCCGCCACGAGTTTCTCGCAACTCGGAAGGGGAAGTACCTGTCACGGAATTGTGGCAACATGCGAAGAAATAAAGTCAAAGATACGGTAAGCATGATATAAAAAAAGAAACGAGTATTACCAATTGCTTCGTAACAGGATCGTTGATGGGACGTTAAATACGTAAGGAAAAAACAAATAAATTCTAAATGATCGATCAAACTTTCCTATAATAAGCGTCCATCGCATCCCCATCCCTCTAATCCAGCTACTTAAAGATGCACATATTTGGACCAGCATTCAACAAGAAGGATAACCACATAAAAGACAGTCGCTAATAACCAAAGGCAATTATGTGAGGTAACGTAAGGGAAAAAAAGAATAAATTCGATCAACCTTTCCCGTAAAGAGCGTCCATCGCATCCCCATCTCTCTTCTCTGTCCCAGAAGAACGAACTTCTCCGTCGGATGAAAACTCGCGTAATAGTAATCGTGAATTTTCCGAACGCCCGTCCCCCTCGCCCCGCATACCAAGTGAAATTTCCGTGAATGAACGTTGTTTCATTGTCGAGCAGAAAGGGTTGGATACTCGTCGTCGGCGGCGGCGGCGTTAAAGGCCGTCTTAGGGGAGGAAAAAATGCTGGGGATTCAATTACCGCGGGGTGAAACGGCGAGAGCGGAACTTCCGGTCGCCGGGATCTTCCGGCTCGGCGTAAACCGTTCCGGTATAAAAGGAAGAGTAAAGAAAAGGTGGTGGTGTGGGGGATGGCATGGGGGGGGGGAAGAAAGCTCAAGGGGAATGGTACGTGTCGTGGTGAAGGGAGTAGCGGAGGAAAGGAGGTGGAAATGGAAACTGGAAGGCGGCAGCAGGGTGGTTTAGCGCGAGAAGTAGCAGGGCTAGGATAGCAGGAGGGGAAAAGGTGAGAGGGGGGATGGGGAGGTTGAAGAAAACACATAATAGGGTGGGGCGCTTTGCTGCCGCTTTTGAATCGATCCAACGCCGGCTACAGCTGGAGTCTCATCCCACTAGGGGTTGGTCAGCGGTTCTCATTCGGCTCTGCTAGGTTTACAAACCACCCCCTACCCCTTATCGTGGAGTTAATTCGTATCGATACAGATAACGAATGCTCTAACTACGAAATGATATTTACAGTCAACCCCATATATATTTGTACCCTCTATCTCCATTAAAGAAGTTTAACTAAATTAAATAACAGGTTTGATATTACTAAATGAATTTTTCGTTATAAATATGCACATGAATAAGCTTACACATGAATATATTTATATATACATGAATGTATTTACACAAACATACACTTGGAAGCATCAAACTTACTTTTTAATTTGAACAAATTATTTACAAATTTTATTTCTTCAACAGACATAGAGAGTACGAATATTTATGAGACTGACTATATATTATATGTTGCAGAATTTATGTATTTATGACGAAAAACGAAATAACGATATTATTATACTACTTGTAGAATACTTCAACATGCATTATGTATGTTTTGTATGTACTGTACGTCATAAGTGCAAAAACAACATGAACAAAAACTGTATAAAATACTATATATACAATACATCTTGTTTATGTTACCTATTCAATAAAAATTTAGGAATCAATGTATCCAATTTGTTGTCCCTGAAGAACAAGGTGAAATCTTTTGGCCCTCCACTTTTCTATACAGTCGTCATACAAAGGACAGGTAACATCGATAATTGACTATACTATGCCATGCAAACGCATATTACCC